ATATTTTAGCGGGTTATTGGCTGAAAAGAATTAATTTCTTACAGTACTTTTGATTATGCGTGTTTTGTTCGTAGTGGAATTCACAGATACATTTAAGGTGCGTGTAATGAAGAAAGTACTAAGGTTTAAAATGTGTTTGTGCCGTGTTTGTGGGCACAAGAAGTTTGTGCCAAGTGTTACGTCACGGGTACGTCTACATAACGTGAGTATTTCTGCTAACGTGCCTTATTTTAGTCCAAGCACACGAGTGCGTGAGGCAAATAATACGAAGACCTCTGACACATTATTTGGACCAAAGAGGAATGAATACAGTGAGAAATTTTGGATAATACAAAATTAGAGACTTCGTAATTTGTGGGCATACAGGTCGCATAGTAGTGTTATAACGATGAAATCTAGGTCTCTTTCCATCTGGTTTACTCACCAGAATCCTGTATGCATTTTTCTTCTCTCCCATCCTGGTTACGTGCATCGCCCATCTCATCCTCTGGCTTAGGATAGGGACCAGTGGCGGGGGCGCTGAATCTTCGGGAATTTCTGGAGCGCATGAGCGACTGTTGGCTTCTCAGGGAGGACTCTGCTCCGTGGAGTAAGGAATTAAAGTAAGTCAGGTGCTTGAGCAGTTGAGCAAGTACAAAACTTTTGTATGGAGATAGCAAATTAGTGGTACAGACGATTGTGTTGATTTAATACTCGTATCTAGTTACTTTTTGTTGAGGGATACTTTTCAGAAATTTACGGTGCTAGGACTTCGTTGAAAAGGAAATCTGCTTTAAAATGTTCAATTCAGTGTTAACAAGAGCCTGCCACTTGAACTTGCCCGGAGCCGGTTGTATCCAATCCACACACTCATACCCTACATCTTTTAGACCTAATTTAATATTATCTTACTCTCTACCCCATGTCTCTACCACTTGGTCTCTTCTTCGCTTCAAGGTTTTCAGCTGGAATTTTGAAAATTGCCTTTCTTATCTCCCAAAGCTTGATGTATGTCTCACCCATCTTAAATCTACTTGATTTAATTTCCGTCTGGTGGAACTAAACTGAAATATTTCTATTTCCTGTTTTCCAGGCGTAAGTATTTCGCGTAGTGCAGAAACGTTTAATTGGTTTTGTTAATTACCACATACCAGAAGCCAGAGAACATCGAATCCTCATCTCCGGACCGGAAGTGCCTCGCTATCGTTACAACTTCAGTTTACAGCAGGGCTTTTCTGACCTCAGTGCCCC